AACAGGAACAGGCTCCAACTCCTCTCCTACAAACGCATTTTCAGGTCCATGACTTCCAGATGCTGTTGGCTCTCCTTCTTAATGTGAAGTACAATGAGTGGGTACAGTATTTACTAAGGACTGTGTCTGCTCGTGCCTGCTTAAAAACCTTTTATCTTTGTACCTTTATTTCCTGTGGGCTTTCATGGTTCTTGTAGGCCATTCCTCCTCCCACCGTGGAGCTGGACAGCAGTTGCACTCCCCTGCACGGGTGGCTCAGTTCCTGCAGTTCCTTCCATTTCACATCTGCAGAATTACCTGCTGTCTGCTCACAACCTTGTCTGGTGTCAGGGAGAGGCGTCCTAAAAGAGCTCTATTGAAATGAAATGGAACCGAGCACGTGTCCTCTGACAATCAGCTGGCTGCAAGGTCTGAGGCACCAAGTTCGGGGGCTCCTGGCACAAACCAGCCCTGGGCAGAAACCCAAGCCCTAAAACAGGCTCCCTGAGACCTGGTCAAACCCTGACAACCTCCAAACTGGTCCTGAATCACTACAAATACTGGTCAAACCCTTCCCTCCCTGGACCCCAGCAGCAGTGCCAGCAGCAGCGAAGGCAGGACAAGGGACCAGGCTCTTGTGCCAGCCCCAGGGAAGAGGAATGGCAAATCCTGGCGCAGCTCCTGGCAGCAGGACGCGGCCGTGACAAGCTCTGCAGGCACGCTTCGTCTCCTGCCAGCTCAGGAAAGCTATCCCAGTTGCTGTCCCACATTTTCTTTTCAACTAGAGAGCTTCTTTTCCCCAGGCCCAGAGAAATATCATCAGCTGCTGATTACTGAGAGCTCGAGAAGTGATTTATTAATTTCCCACTCGCTTTCAGGTTGGGAACATGACTGCACTCAAGAGCAGTCACCTGATTCCTTGGGCTACTTCTGCCAGGTGTCTCCCGGTGCCTCGAGCCTCTCTCTTTCTTTTTTTTCCACATGGCTTTACATTACTGCAATACACAGAATTGTTTCAGGATTTCTTGGGGCTATTTTTTTGCTTTTTAAATATTTTCCTGGAAGTGAAATGCATCAACGTCCCCTTCCCCTCACCAACGCAAATATTTCTGCTTGCTTGGAGTTGTGACTCCTTTCTGCTCGCCAACGCTGACATATCCTATAGGGGAATTAACTCTGAATGGGGAGCCAGGCAGGCACAGGGGAGCACTTGTGGATAAGCTGAGGGCTCCTGTGGCCCGCTGAACAAGCCACAGGCTATCCACAAAGTGAGGATGGCAAGGCACTGCTCCCGATGGTCATTTTCTGACTCCCAGAATACATTTTTTATGTACTCTCCATTTTTAATGTATTCTCCTACAATATCCATCTCCTCCACCGAGCCAATGCAGGACAGCACAATTTAGAGAGACATCATTCCAGGTGTCCTGGTGGCATCCTTGGTTCCTTTCACCATCTTTTACAAATCAAGCACGTCTCTCTTCATCGGAGTAGGCTGGGAGAAAGAAGCAGGGTTCTGATAGACTAAGTAAGATTTTTCTCATACTCTGCAAAATCCCACTGGGCTACCAGCAGGGCAGCTGCCTGGTGGCATGCTCGTGTGTTACAAATGGTGACTGAAGCAGCTAACCTGAAAAATTAGTATGCATAGTGCTGGTGAAAAACAAATGATATGTCACAGCCGGAACAGTCACAGTGCTAGAGGAAAAAAATTGTTGCTTTAGGGCAGCGTCTTGATTTGCTATAGGTTGAAGAGCTGGAAAAAAAAACACCTGTTGCAAGTGCAGCACAAAGAACATGGGGTCAGCAAACACTACAAGGGCAGCAACATTACCCAGCGACTACAGAAGTCTATCCTGGTGTCAGAAACAGCGATTCTGCTTCTGCCACTGCCCCAGTAAAGAATCTCAGAATTCCTCTACTGCCTTAGAGCTGTACCACCATTTTCTCAGCTGTGAAGAATGAGAGTTTCCCAAGGCTGCAAAGGGTTTAGAGATCTTCAGGTGAAAGTGCTACTGTAAGCACAAGGAATATTCTCGTTCCTAATTACCAGCACACATTAGAGGAATTGCAGTGCAGCATGTTCAGTCCAGCAGGTCCTAGAACACCACACTGTGGTGCACAGATGTAAAGTTAACATTTAGGCTTAAGTGCTTCTCAGAAAGGCTTCATAAATGAATCTCGTTGAAATGAAAATGCCAAGCATATGTGAGTAGTGTTAGTGCTGTTCTGATTTATTTATTTATTTTACTATTTATTCCTGCTAACCATGGATGTTCAAGTTCAAGGACCAAGCACCTTCTCTGAACTGCAACTCAATTACACTTTGAATGACTTCTGTTTGGCAACTCATTTTGCTGCTGTGCAGATGAGACTTATGGCAACAGTGCAGTCCTTTTGCCTCCTTTCTGCAGAGCTCAGAGACCTTTGCTAAAATAATCAAATTTATTATCTGCGCAAGTAAAACAGGAGTAAAATAGTTGTCTGGTTTGTGGAATGCCTGGAACAAATAACATTTCCAGCACATGGGAATTTTCACTTTCTGGAGACCAAGGAAGGGAAATACTTACGTAATAAAGAATCCTTAGTCTAAATTCTTAATGGCATTTATAAGTTGCACTGTGAGCAACACCTTGTGCTGACAAACTGTGCACTGATGAACGTGCAGTTGATAAACAGGAATTTCCCAGGACATCATAGAAGCAGAAAAAGGATGCAAGGAACACTCTGAAATCATACCCTGAATGCAGGAGACCTCTAAGCCTTAAAGTCTGCACCCATACAATTGGGAGGGTTGGACTAACTGATCCACTTTAGCTTACACTTAGTAAGTGTAAGCTACACTCGATCAATTCTGTTGATGGGAAGCCCATGAAAACTTCTTCAACCTGTACGAACTTATGCCAAGAAGTTCTGGCTCTAGCATAGCTTGTCCAAGGCACCAGAAAACAATGAGTTACAACAACACAATAGGAAATAATAAAAAACGTGTATAAACATCCATGCCTTTAGGTGAGACAGCACAAGTCACAGTCTGAAGTTATCTCCCAAGGTGGTAATACTGTCTGATTAGCACAACTGTCCAGAGAACTCAGAATCACGTACAAATTCAAGGTCATGGCCCTTGGGACCAGAACAAGTAAGACAACCACCACAGGATACAGCCAAAAAGGACAGAAAAGAATTGCAGTGAAAGAGGAGAATCATGAATGAGCCAACCTCAGGAACACTGCACTCCAGAATGGAAGCCAGAGAAGTTTCTAGTCCCAAACCACACAAGAGCTGACTGTGCAGGCACCTGAGAAGTGATGATTACAAGTGCAAATCTCAAGACAAAGGTCACAAACTTTTAAGGATGCCAAGAAAAGCAAATACTTCAACAAAACTGCAAGAGAGTGCCAAGCAATTCTGACTTGTGGTAGAAGGTCAGAGAACATGACTGCAATCTGCATCTGGAAATGAGGATTAAGATGTAATTTTAGCTAATATTTGAAACCTGCCTCTGTCATTGAAGCATAGGAGGGTAAGCTTTCTGCTATAATATGCAAATACTGTAGGGGTGCAAAATGCCAACCAGGATTCCACTAACAGAACCTGCAGCATTCCTTGGAGATCAAAGGTGAAGCCCTAGCTGGTTGCTCACGCCAGGAGGAATGAGCTTCCCAGAAGCTGCAGGATTGTAGCTACCGTCAAACAAGCAAGAAAAGTCTTATGGAGCCCAAATCCTCACCTGGTGAAGTGACCAGTGATCAAAAAGATTTTTGACTGTGCGTTTGTGACATGCAGCTCTTACTTTCATGTTGACCTTCTGCGGTGTCTAGCAGCACATGTTCTGAGGATGGAGAACAGAAGGTAGATGAGGAACTTCTTGCGGGTATACAGGAGGTTCCCTGTGCATCATTGTCTCCTTGCCTTTCTCACCATCTGTTGGATGTTGCATCAAGAGGCTTTACATGACACAGAAAATCCTCAGAGCTAAGAAATGTAACTACAGTTCCTCAGCTGAGTTTAAAAATGCTAAGGTCATCCCAACAAATGAGCAATAAAGATAAGGAAAAAATGCTCATAAAGCTTACCACAAAAGTACTGCAGAACTCTAGGAAGGCGTCAGCCTCACCACTTGTTTTTTTACACACCATTAGGCTGTATGCTCCTTGGGTCAAGGGAATCAGACACACACGCCCCTTAGTAAAATGTCCAGCACAACAGGACCCAAATTTCAAGTGGGCAATGTGTATGTTAATGTAAATAATAGGTAACAACTTCAGGGTTTTCTAAAATATACACCAGGAAAAACCTACTGGAATGCACCCCAGAATCACAAGAGAGTAGGACACTTTTTTTTTTCCCCTAGTAAGGCATTCATCCTCCGTTCATTAGCATCCAATTACCTCTTGGGTTCTTTCCCCAATGCTGGGGGTTTCTTTTCAACAAAACAAAACAATATTACAAAACAACAACAAGAACCCTAACTCCAAACGATGCCCTTAGTGTAACTAACTAAGAGTCAGATTCAGGGAAAAGCTCGAAGCACAGGAACAGCACCAGAGAAATCCCCGTGCAAGCTGCTGAGACTCACAGGAGCTGCTGCACGCTGAGATCTGCAGCCTCCTAGCATGCCACTGCCCAGAGCAGAGTACTTTATGTGGTGGTGATGGCGATCACACAGATGTATTTGGCAGTACAGAAATCTGGAGGATCCGCTGTCAGTTTCTCCTACTATTCCAGATGATGCCTCCAACATTTTATGTGCTGATTGAAAAGTGTGCATGAAATTAATGCGCGCACGCACGCCAACATTTGAGTGCTGGGGAGGGGAGGGAACTGCAGAAACATCACCAAAACCTCATTTACAAAAATAGTTTAAACAGTGAGCTAACAAATTAGGCAGTATTTTCTCTACCAGCATGTTTACTTAGCTAGCATTATCACTGCTAAATATGCAGCTCTGTGCCATTTTCTTCAGTCTTTATCTTGAGATGTCAGTCTGTCTAAGAATTCCACAAACAAATAACTGGGAATCACTTATAAATAGCTGGCTTTAATAACAGTAGACACTAGGATGACTATAAAAACACTCCAGTTCCATTAACTCAGTAAAATCAGCTGAATTATACAACAAAGATAATTACGTTGAGCAAATTTATAAAGTTACATAAAATAAAAAGGAGCGGAAGAAGGAGGTAGAGCTGAGGATGTCCTATTTTAAAAGAAATTTCTGCTGGAAAAGACTAGGTCAATTGCATAAAAATGTTCAGATTTGTTTATGTTCTTTAACTTACAATCCTGATCATTAGCAAATATGCTTTTTTGGCTTCTTTCCATAAGCAATTCGCTAGAAATAGAACCGTCTGTTTTAAGCCTGAGCGCTCCCTTAAAATATTTGCATCCCAGCCTCCCACTGGGGCAGCACACAATATTCAGATCCCGAATGCTGACTAAAAACAAACGGTAAAATAACTGACCTGTTTTCCTAGCTTCTGAAAAGCGCTGGGTAAAGAAACAGCCTGAAGTGTGAAAAATGACACGACTTTCACAATTACCGCGTTGCTAGCAGACGAGGGTGTTAACTAACTGAACCGAGGAAAACATTTTTCTTCCAAAATTTCCAGAGGAATGATATTATTTGTAGATATATTTATACAGTTATTTAATGCGATAGTGTCCCTTTAAGTAAACTTGTCACAGAAGATTTATTTTTTTCCCCATTGTCTAAGAGTACAGTGCAGGGAGTACAAAAGGTCCACTGGCCAGGACACAAACCCCAGAGGCTGAGGCTAACAAAGCGGCTGACAAGGAGCGACTGGGTGACACAATGGATGAAGTGTTCACAAGATCCTGCTGTTACAGATAGGAGAAACATAAAAATAAGCAATATTTGATTCAAAGGAATTAGGAATAATGTTAGCATCAGAAATAAAAAAACTGCAGTGTTCAAGAACTGGAAAAGGTTGTGGATATCAACTATTTAATTATTTCCAAATACTTTATCATATATCTAGATGTAATAACTCAATTTTATGCCACTTTCATGGAAATCTGTTTCATTCTTTTCTTACATTTTTTAGCTTTTCCATCATTCTGTTCCATTTAATGAATACACGGATTTTGAATATTAGGTGAATAGTCCTTGCAACTGAACACAAAAGGGAAATGATGCAGATAGCATTATGGTCCCGCTTCTTCTCCTTGCATTAGGTTGGAAATGATATGCAGTAGGGATTATGCTTTGTTTAAAGCTGAGCCTCTGCCTCTAAAAGAATACATTATACAAATCTTCTAATGTTGTTGAAATTCCCCAAAACTTGATTGTGTCAGACATAATGTGGCAATGAGGTTCTTATCCCTACCTTATGCCGAATAAATATCTAATATCAGAGAGTATAACCTTGGAAAAGTATACACCAGGGAACATCCCTCGTGTCAATAATTCATAGGGCTGTTGGTGGGAAGGTACATGCAGCTAGCCCCTAACATTATACGGAATACATTAGTGCCCACGCAGCCACAGCTCCCCGGGAAGGCGGTGGGGGAAGGGGAGAGGCAGGAACAGACGGACGGATGGACGGACAGACTCCCCGCCAGCCTGATTAAAAAAAAAAAAGAAGAAGAATTATTCAAAGTAGCACTTTCTCTGCCAAAACAAACAAGACCCCACCTCAGACTTGTGCGAGGGACGGAGCATGTGGAGCGTGCATTGTGACACACGCACGTGCTCCCGGATTTGCTTTGCGTTTCCTAATTGCCAGCAGCGAGGGTTCCTGCCCCGGCTGCAGGACCGCTGGGAGCCGGAGCACGCACCCACGAGAGAGGCTCCCACGAGCCCACAGATTAATTGGACCGCCGTTAATCCTAAAATCAATACATTTGGGCTCAGTGGTATTTCTATAGGCAGAAATGCAGTTGCCATTCAAATGAGCTGAAATAAATAAGAAAAAATTCAGCTAGCACGTATCTGCCTTAAAGACGATTGAGATTTTAATTAAAGGCAAAAATGAGAGGGGATTTGAATACAGTTTGAGGTCTTCTGCATTCCCATTTGCTCTTTAACAGTTACAGTTTTAATGATTTAGGAACCAGAAGAATAACTAAGAAACCCAACAGTCATTATCTCAAATAATGAGACTTTTTAATGCAAAATCAATGTTTGTTATAATGAAAATAGATTCCTCAGCTCCTGCAGGGTGATATGTACAATTCTTTTTCGCCATTAAATAGAATGTGATTGCTTATTTTCACCAACATGATGAACATTTTTATTCAGGAGTAAAAATAAAATGTCAGAATTTATTTACTGTTATTAAGCACATGTATTTAACCAGAAGCTCCCACCATATGACTGAAGCTGAGGAAATTGGGAATAATTTTCTGTGAACTTTCCAAAGCTTGGGGAATAAATGCAAAATTTCCAGCAAGTAATGAAAAAGCTCGCTCTGGGAAAAAATTGTCAGGTTGCATTCTGGCTCCTGTTCAGATGGTTGGCCAAACTCTTTGTTATGTCAAACGAACCGAACTCAAAAGCTAATGAAAAATATCTAAAGCACATTTAATGATGTAAAAGAAAACACTTCTTCCATAACAAGATATCAAAACTGTTATCAATGCAGAGCAATTTTTTTTTAATGCTGATGAATGTATTTATAGTGATTTTTCATCTCTGAACATTAGGAAAAGCGTTCGTAATAATACTCCAGAGCTATTTCCTCTTAAGAGTCCAGATCTAAAACAAAGCATAAAAACTCTGGGGCTAAATGCTTCATTGTGAAACACTTTGTATAGTTCTGAATGCTCATATTTGGCTTGTTTATGCATGCAATACCCAAAAGGTATAAAATCAGAACATGAACAAGACGACAGAGTTTGCAGCAGAGCTGCCAATATCCTCTAACATGTTTTCTTGGGTTCTTGTACAGGTATCAGGGGAAGAACAAGTCCTCACTGGAAGAGAACTACAACTGGGAGCAGATCTGCACAGGAATCTCCAGGAAAAACATGGGGCTGGGCAGCTGCAATCTCTGAAAGGTGCCTTCTGCAGGAACGACACCGCTGACAAGTATCATTCACTCACCCGTGTATGGGAGGAATTTCCTGGAGTGATGCAAACATTTAGGAAAAACGTACTCTGTCTTGACTGGGAGCCCCTCGAGAGCATCTACAGCAAATAGAGGCAAAGCAGGGCTAACTATAGCAGGTTGCTGCGGGCTGTGTCCAGTCAGCCAGGGTTACTGGCTGCTTTTGGGTAATGTGTTATAATCTGCTCACGCTGTACAGCACTGTATGAAACACTCTGTGTATATACTAGTAGCTTCCAAAGTTTTCACTGAGGAATTTTAAAGCATTATTGGTGTCAAAAGAGTACAAACACTACTTTTCAGTAATCATAAACATAAAGAAAAGATTAGCACCTCTTTCTAAATAAACCAGGCAATGGAAATCATGGTGTTTACTGAACTGCACTCATCTATTGTGCAGACCTCTGCATGGCTGTCATTTCTCCATGCATATTTATTCCAACTTGTTAGCTGAGGCTACATCCACATGCAGAACAGTGCTTCTGGACTTGCAGAAACTCCTGAAGCAGTAATACTTATTAACCAGTTCAGCTTGGCTCCACAGCAGTTGCTTAATGGGGAAGACTCAGCAACTGGAATTATAGAAAAGTTTCCACAAGGATATTTTATTTTATATAGTGTTTATTTTTATCAATGTTCATTTTTCATGAATACTGGAAAAATGGAACTTTCAGAAGATCATTTATTAATGAAAAGCAAATTACAATCCACACAGAGGCATCTGTGAAAATCAACAGAGGATTTCCATGAGCAAGAAACATTTAAAGGAAACTATTTTGTGCTCATTCAGTAAAGTACAGCAATAACTTTATGACAGATAACTTCAGTCTCAACTAAACTTTACAGGTCAAATTTGATGGTTTATTCTCACGGTTGTTAAAAATGTTATCAAAATAAATTCAAGGAGCATTAGTTATGAAACATTATGAGGAAATCATGATCTGCTCATGACTATGATGCAGGCAGAAGTAAGGCCTAAATTCTTTGAGTAAATTACTCATTGTGACATATTTTTTATCTTCAAACTAACCATGCTTGACACTACATAGAGGACAGTCATTATAGTCTACAGTGTCAGAATTCAGACCATTAAACACGACACAACTAACCAAGAAATGCAGTTTATGTAGGAACTTTCCCTAACGAACATGTGCTTTGTAACAAAACATACAAAGCCTCACATCATGGAATCTGTGTGCATTCATACAGGCTGCTCCACTGTGGTGCCCATGCAGATGTGCCTTTCTGAAACAACTTTCAGAACTAAAAAAATATTTTATTTACAAAGTATCTGTTGCCTGTGTTGCCCTGCATTTAACTTATTTATTACTTATTACTAATACTTAAATACTTCAATGTATCTATGCCATAGAGCTGATTTGTTAGGAAACTACATATAGGAAAGAATTAACACCATTCAAGCTTTTATAACAGCACAAGATGTTCCAGACAGCGTCACAGACTAATGCAGTAACTCTGAAGACTGTTATCTCTGAGATCTTACAGCAACTACACCTAACGGCTAGCTCCTTCCTGGCAGAATATTTAAAATACCTAAGAAAAGTATTTCTAAGAAAGATGAACAGCGTTAAAGTTTCAGGATTGGGCTACTTTCAGTGACGGAATTTTCCTAATGGGATTCATCTTCAATATTGAAATCACATTCTTCAGTAAGAAATGGGACAGACCAAGAGCTATAACCAAGAGTCGTATTTACAAGACATGTTTTTGGTATACGAATACATTCACTTCAGAGGTAATAGTGAGGCAGCTTTCAACAGAGCTTGGAATAAACATATACATGTATATGAAAAACTGAGCGCTGGCCTTTCTTGGAACCTTGACTGTCATGGAACAGCTTTCCTTCTTTTCCTCCTTTCTCCCTTCTCCTTAGCATTTAGGAGTTTGAAAATCTGAAATGCATCTTTTTCAACATGCAGGTGTATTCACTATCAGCTAAACTGAAGGCCCAATCAGCATACATAAACTCTGCCCCTAAGCAGTCTGTACTGGTTTATACAGAGATTAGGATTGCTTTGAATTACACATGCAATCAGGACATTTCATACAGCAAATTGTGGTCATTTTGACAACTATACAGCAAGCTTAATTTCAGGCCCGAGTATATATGATATTCAGAGATACAATGAGGTAATTTAACATTTAAAAAGGGGAATATGTAGTACAAATTAGTAGAAAAATCATGACACTTACAAACCTGTTCTAAAGATGTATTGTTCCTTTTTCTTCAGAAAAAAAAATCAGTTTCTATTAAGAATAAATTAACCACTAAAGAATTCCATTGATGGTCAATTCATACTGGAAATCTATTTTAACCTTGGAAAAGAAAGGAAGGAAAAAGAGGGAAGGAAAGAAGGAGGGAGAGAGGGAAGAATGCAGATACAAAGATGCATGCAGAAACACAGCACTTCTAACATGCAGCCTGCAGAACAGCAGCCCCCGTGACTGCAAACTCCTCATCAGAGGATGTCAGCTGTTCTCACAACAGCTACATTTTCAGAGGAAGCAGTCTTCATCGTAACATATAGAGATATACGTGTATATATAAATATACAGACCTCTGACTGAAGAAACCTGCTTTCTCTTCTGAGGTGCGGGAATCCTAAGCACGGAGGAGATCTCACACGACGGGCTTGCTCCTGCTCTGTAAACCAGGGTATGAAACCTGCAGTGATGAACAGAATATTGACCAGATGTATCTAGAGATCTAGATGCTGCTTACGCCTGTTATCCCCAAGCATCCTGCTTTGTAAAAACAAAGATCTGGCATGCATTTGAACCCTGATCTCTTTGAAACAACTTTGAAACAACTTTTCCTCTCTGTAAACTCTGCTACCTCCTTTATATGCTTTCAGTGCTCTCTTTATATACATTGCCAACTCCTTCAAAATAAAAACACTTCCTGTTCAGTTAGAGTCCATAAAAACTCTTGAAGTTAGTGTGCATGTGTGTACCCAGTCAGGTATCCCGAAGGGAAGTGGCAAAAAGCTGAATTTACATAATCTGAATTCCTTAGATAATACAGGAAAAATTTCAGTTCTAATACATTCCTAAGGTTGAAAGATTTTTTTCGCCATTTTTCTCCTCCAATTAAGTGAAGACCTGTTATAGTTCAAATGTATACTACACAAGTGAAATTTTTAGGCTTGTATGTAAGAACAGGACTGCACGGGTGCAGCAGGTCATCGTGTTCTTACACTTTACAGATCTGCATAGCCCCACTTCAGCTCCCAGTTACATGTACTACAGAAGCTCTTCTTGGTCAAAATATACTTTGGGTTGAAGTTACATGCTACCAGCTGGTGCACTCTGGAGGTACAATTTTTGCCTTCAAAAAGCTGGAAGATCTCAGAGTATTTGCCTAGTACCATAAATACTGCAACAGTGAGAGAGCAAAAGCCAAAAACAGAACATGTAAGGTACCCACCATAGTCTTTAGCAAAGATACCACTGCTAACAACAAGAAAACAAGAAACAAGAAAACTTTCATATTAATAGCATCAGTGTTTTTTTTTCCCTATTTTCTGGTCTGTCAAGCAGTATGCCATCTCTTTTCAATCAAAAGTTAGATTTTGTGCCCTCCAACACAAAACTTGTTTTATAATACATCTGTTACTTGGAATTATGAGGTTTGGTCACATTTTGATTGATAGCAGCATCATAATTTTAGTCCAATTTATCACTCAACGCTTTATACTCCTGCCAAAAAGGGTTAAACGCCCTCCCCCTTTCCAAACATTTCGTACCTGACCTTTACATGGCTAATTTTATTACTCTGACAGAATTTTTAGACTTCTGTTTTCTTTCAAATGCACCATGATAGTAACTGGAATCTTCTAATTTCTTCAAACTGTCTTCCCAATTATTTATTTAAAAGCTGTGAAGATAAGCTCTCCATTCTCACCTAGATCAGTGATAAGAGAAGAAATGGCCTTTTTAAAGTGTCTCTGCTTTTTAAAGCAGATAGAAATAATAAGGTTGACAAAGGAAAAAGGAAAATTGAGCATTATGAGGGTAATAACTTAGAAAGTGTCAGATTCAGAATAATTGAATTCAATGACATTTAATGCTATGGAAAACAATAGCAGCAGCCCAGCCGCCCATCTGATTCATGTCTAGTTCATGTTTAACAAAACAAGGCTAAGGGTCATGCAGTCATGAGTCCCATAAATAACCTGTTAATGGGATTTCCAAACAAGCTGTCCTCAAAATGGTTTTTCGTCTCACAGAAAGAATATTAAAATGCAAATGGATTCGGGCTGTGTCCTCATAAACAACCATGTTCATTTAACCTCTGACCTCAACGTTTAACTGCCCATTCCAGCAATTTGTATGGTATTAGCCACAGCATGCCACTCCAAAGTGCTAACTTTGAGAAGAGAGCACTAAATGAATGGGTTACTATCTGTGATGCTCAGTTAATCATGTCAAAATGATTTTATAGGCAGAAAACTGTCCTTTTAAAACTTCCCTTCATTCAGCTGACATTTTTGCTAAGGGAAGAAAAAGACCAAACAACAAAACCAAAACGAGCGAGTGCCAGGGAAGGCGTTTTGGGAGCAGCCCTGACCAGCACAGCCCAAGGGCTTTGCTCGAGCCCGGCCCTCACTTCCACAGCGCTCAGCCCGGCCTGCCTTGCTCCTTTTCTGTTTTAGGAGATTCCAGGCATTTCCTGAAGCACTTTCAGTCACATATTTTTATTACATTATCACAGAAAGTCCCCCCGACTGCCATGTAAACCTCTCTTTGTCCAAATCCAGCCACATCTCACTGCTCCTCCTCACAAGCAGAGCTCCTCCAAGGGCCTACAGGAGCTCGTTGGCCAGGCCCAACATAAAAGTAAAGCAGCAACAAGCAAGGTATCTGGTAACTGTTCCCAGTTAGAAGCGTCATGAAAATTAAATACTCACTGAAGGCTGCTCTTAACAGCTTGGTTTTAAAGGAATTAAATAAAATAAATGGCTTTTCTGAGAAAGGGCAGGGTAAGAGGCCTTACCAACAAACCAGCAGCCACTGGGATGCCAGAGCAGCATAAAGCAAGCCCTCTCGTCTGACTGCTGCAGAGCTTTTTCATTCAGGAATACTATGCCAAGTTCTTCACAGCATATTAGAGGTGATCAAATATTTTTAACCTCCAGAGAAAGCAGCCACAGCTGGGACTGGATCTCAAAGGTCTTTCAAAGTCTGCTAAGCAAGCCAGTGAGGAGGAAACGAAGGGAACTTGGCATGTTTCGGAAGGACACGTTATTTTCCTGTTTCCAGTGCTGGACCATGCCTGTACTCTCCACTGATTATTCAAGTGGGCTCATTTTTCTTGTCAGTTTTGGATTTATACCTTTCCTCGATAAGTAGATTCCTTCCCGTAACAGCTCTTTAGGGGCACAATTTCAGGCGTTGCTCATTGCACAGAGCTGATTTGTCTAATTTTGCTTACACTGATTGGCAGCAAAGTCTCTGAGTATTTGGTCCCCAGAGTTTCACTTTTCTGGAACGTGTTTACTTTCTTGTCCAAGAAAACTCCAAGTGAAGACTTCCCTCCCAGACGAGGCAGCAACAAGTCTGACTTCTAACAACGGCAGGAGTCAGGAAACAGTTCAATGACTCACTCAAAAATTAAGGAAAATTTACCTTCTCCAGATAAAACAAATATGCAGCCACTGTGCAAGAATTACGGGTATTTCTTACCCGCATATAGAGTAAAATAATACCTGAAGTTGGAATAAATATTTCATTTTGAATCTAAAAGAGTTCAGCTCTACCAAATTCCCTTCTTTGCTCCCCCAAAGGACAAGCAATGCTTTCAGAGCCCTCTCCCTTCCCGCACACACACACCTGATCAGCCGGACAGCTCCTCTCCGGGTGCAGGAGAATGAAGCCATGCCATTCAAAATCATTGCCTTCTTTAGCCTACTGTATTCCAGACCTTTTGACCTAACAAAAATAACCATTTTGTCACAGTCAGTAACACAGAATTCTGGCATTTGGGAATTCCATAGAAAACAGGAAAATCCTGGTATTTTGAAATTGAATGAATCTACATGTATTCCGTTGTGAGATGACAAACTTTTCTCAGTACACACTGCACTAACACAGTAACTCTACACACTAGCTGAAAGATTCAAACTGTGTTAACAAACTCCAGGACACAAAGAGTACTGTACCACGGTAAAAAGAACAGGGAATTTCTTGTCTGATTTTCTGTGACACCCCACATTACAGGTAGAATGGAGTCTACTCCCCTGAGCAGGCTGAAATTACGACAACATACGTTATTCTGATAAACAAGAATCACAATAAGTTACTGCTTGAATTTAGTATTTATCCTATATTATTCTCTATTTTGTGAAAGCTTACTGTAAGTTGTCAGAGGCAAACACCTTCAGAGAGGCTCACAGCACTTTACCTTTCAGCTGACTCGTATTTCAAAAGCTGTTTTCCCACTGTACGTATGCAGCCACCATGAAGTTCTGGTACCTTATTCCGGAGTTCATTTCACAGATGGCTAGAAATTAATTTGGATGACAGATTCAAGAAGGACACAACTGCCCATACCATGGCAGAATTAGGTAAGGTAAAGTAGGACAAAGTGATCATCAGAGACACTGGGCACATTTCTTGTAAGGAGGGACTAAACAGACAAACCTCTTCAGGTTGGAACGGAGGCACCAGAGGAGAAATACATTATTAAAGGTATACAAAGTCATGAATGACGTACAAAGTCAGTAGATAAAGATTATTCAGCAGTTCTTCTGAAACAAGACATAGGAAGTATAGATAAACACATTACAATCCTCACATAGTTAAAAGGTATTTCTGCTGCTCAGACTATCACATTTCTAACAAGGTTTACTACAGCAGGTTCCTTGTGTGTTTTTTTGGTTGGTTGATTGTGTTTTTTTTGTTTTGTTTTTGTCAAGCCGCATTACTCCTATCTCAATGATTCTTTCCACCCCATATTTCTCTGCTTTTAGATCTGCTGTCTTTCACATTCTTATTTCTTCTTCTCTCTCTCCTCTTTAATAAAATTTTATTAATGGGTCTAGAGGTTCCCGCTGACTTGACTGGTTCTGAACCTACCTCTTCAGCTGCCTTTCTGCTTTCTATCTTCTCTCTTATTAACCTGCAATTTCCTTTTTCTGTATTAAGCTCTGAAGGAAAAAGGAAAGAAATGTGAGGGAGGGAGAAAATTTGTAAAAGCAATAAACTGAGGTAACTCCTTCACATACCTCAGAGAAGCACCCGAGTGCATTATATGTCCTACTCTCAGAGCACATTTTGGAGAGATTATTTTAAATTACCAGAGTTTTTACTCTGATCGATCACTTTGCACTTGAAGATGCCTTTCATTGTAAGGGAAAATAATACTGAATTCATTGTTCTGCCAATAGACCTTTGGTTAAATAATTTAAATACTGTGGAAGAACATTCCTGGGAAAATATCTTCAGAAAAAGTTTTTAATCTGTATTTCAGTTGTATTCCATGCTTTAAATACATCCCAATTAGAGAAAAGCAATGTGGTAAAAATGCAAAGATAATGATAGATTAATTACTGTTGTGGCAAAACAAGAACAAATTTTTGAAGTATTAAGTCATGTCATTATTAAAAGGAACATTTTTATATCAAGGAGAATGGAAAAATGAAAAAAATATTTTGATATCAAAACAGGATACATCCATCTGTTTTCCTTTGTCTGTTATTTGTGTCTGTTAGATACACCTTCACTTACAGTTACAGAAGAGTAATTAATGTTCAATTACTGGCAATTTGAAGTTTCAAGAATGGATTTTTTACATCGCCCTTTGATAGGAACAGATCAGAATACATTTTTGCAAGAAACCCAAAGTACTCTTTCCCAACAGAAGTCTCCAGCTTTATTTAGATGTCAAGCCATTCTGGCTCAAACAGAAGGAAACGTATTTTGCACACCATTTTTTCTTGCAATACACTGTATTGCAAGCTTTTAAGTTAAAGGGATGAAAAAATATACTTCATGTAGCTGTGTGTGGTGATTTTTACTTTCTAAATTGAGGGATGGATTTATATTGCTGAGATAGGTGTAACAGTACTTGGCTGCAAGGCGTTTGAGCTGTTACCATCAACACCTGAGCAACTTAGAATGAAACTCAGTGGCTCATGGTGAGGTAGAGCTGAATCCGTATCCTGAAAATGCATATGAATCCTCAAAGCTTAAGTCTAAAACTATTTTTGGTTTGCTCTGTTTTAGAAAAAAAGTGACAAGATTTAGCAGAACGTCCCTCAGCTTCCAGGCTGTCTGAAGGACCTGACCTTTGGCAGAGCTGACAAACTGACGCTGTCTGTCAGGAATCCTGTTTCATCCCCCTCCCCAGCTGCCACGCTCACTGTCACTGATTTCCGACCCTCCTCCTGCCCCCTGAGGTTTCCCTGCAGGTATGACTCTCAACACATTCTCTCCACCACCAAGACCTCACTGTGCACAGCTCAGGTTAGGTCTGCACTCTGCAAAGCCACAGCTGGAAAAGGCAAAACCGAACTCTGTGGAACAAGGCAGTCCTGGAAAAGCAACAGCAATGCCATTGTGGCTATGAGCAACAGCACAGAGCTCATAACTTACAGGTGGTGGAAAGCAGATTTGCCCCACTCGCTCAGTGCTGGGCTTTTGGCAAAAAGAGGTTGCAGAAAATCTGATTCTGGCCATCAGAGTCACTACAGAGGTCCTGGACCACTCAGAGACTCCAGAGACACAGCGTGTGCCAAAACTGGTGTTCAGCTAGGCACAGCACTGGCTTGTCCAAGTCCGTTCCCTAAAGCCGAATCTGAGCCCCCAAAAGTTAGAGCTGGAAACTTTTTTTCCTGTAACGGGCTGAAAGCAGAGTCATTAATGCTGCGATCGGTCTAATCCAGAGCATTTGTCGCTGCTAATTATTACGGACAAGCCTCTTTATTGAACCACATCCTCTTATCGACATTAGGATGCATGAGCCGAGGCTGTTGTTTTAAACGCACTCATTAACCACACAAATCAGCCCTGTTGACAGAGCGCTTTTGAATTAAGCTTCAGACTGTAGTCATTGGACAAGGAGCAATTTATAATGCCATTAGCAACACTTGCGAAGGTTACAGGCATCAAAAATTGTTCAGCCGTAATTATTCTTAATGGATACAAGGAATAAACTGACGCAGGACAGCTTTTTCATTAGCTTTCAATCAAGGCTGATGGCTTTGAGAAATGTACAGTAAGTGCGTTTTGGGGAGAAATAATGATGTTGCAGCACCTTTCATCGGAAAATGCTCTCAGTTCAGAACTTAACTTTTAATAACCTTAATTTGATATAATTAAAAAATCTGATTTGCTTTGAAGATCTTGCAATGAATTGTTTTGGCTGCTGTTTAACCCTTTGCCAAGTATTCATCCCAAAGATGCTAAAAAAAATCTTCAGGTACTTTGAGTTCTCACCGAAAGCATTAAACTTCTGATTTCCTACACCCCTACCAGCTGCTACAGATTTTTACACTGAATTCAGAGCAGTTAGGGAATGAGGGGATTTTTACAAGGCATACCTGCTTCTGAAAAAGTACCTGCACGTGCACAACACTCTCCATAGAATTCAGCTGTGGCTTTGCAGACAGGTGATCTAGCACTGTTCTTCACCTACAAAGCAATAAAGCCTGAAACCCTGTGCTCACTCCTCTTCCAGAGGCACGAGGGCAGCCATATACACACATACCCCGTTCTAACCTTCTCCCCCATTAGACCAGTTTCTGAACCACACAGACCTCTGGCACGATGTGGTGTCTGCTCTTAGGTTTTCTGTCTAGTGTCCCCTTACTATAATGTAAACTTCTAGGAGAGACGATGTCTCTCTGAGTTGTACAACTCAGAATCCTTACACGTCTGGTGAAGAGCATGGCAACAGTGCTGCTCTCTCTGAGAAGCAATACCAGCAAGAACAATCATTTTCCTTTTCTAGTACAGCAGAGTACCTATTGACTAACAGCTTCTGGTGAAAATATTTCTAATGGCATCTAATAAATCAGTTTGGTGCCTTACAGATGAAGAATAACACTTAAATGATAAGGGTTGTGGAACAAGCTCTGGGGCTTCAATGGAGCGTGCCTTCTGTATTGGGACATTTTAATCTCACTGTTCCAGCTGACTTCTTGTCGCTCAGCCCCGTGGCTCTCTGGACACCAACAGGATGAGGACTGAGACTCGGGAGGGCAATAAGCTTTGCTTCGATCAAGAGATGCTACTGCACCGTACAGAGTGATGGAAAGGAGACTTGAAAAAAGCCCAAGACAGTAGGTTGGAGAAAATGTACAGCTGGTGCCTACGCTGCCTTGCTGCTTTAGGGGAGAATGCTGTGAAGAGGCAGAAAATAAAAGGAAGGGTGTGCATCTAGGTACCTTTCAGTCCAGCTCTGCTGCTTCTGAAGACAGCACATAAGGAATAGTGAAGTTCCATCTCTTGAATACGTGCTCTGCCTACCAGAGTCCAATGCAACCAGGCAGTCATCCACTGCATGCCACCGTTAGCCACACTGTCCCATTTAGCTGTTCCCCAGTGACCAGCATTTCAACTTGAAAAGAAGCAGACACACTAATTACTAATGTTACAAAAGTCTACACTGACATTCTGTAAAGAAACCAACTCTGAAATCTTATCAGTGAAAATGTTAGTGAAATTTATTCAATTGTAATTAGTAGAAAGTTAACATGAATAATGTTTGACTTTTCCCAACCAAGGAACTGCTACTTACAGCTAACATTCTGGTAGCAATGCCACACATAAACAAGGATATACAAGAAAATACACAGAAACACTCATCCTCACTCCCTTAAGCACTAGTGAAATGGGAAGCCAAAAGAAAAGAAAACAACAAAAAAAACCCTCTAGGCTGGAGACTGAATTTGCTACAGTTAAAATCATATTATTTTTGAAAAGCAAACCTCCATGTAAACTGGTCCTCATTTCATAGAACAGTCATAGAACCATTCAGGTTGGAAAAGGCCTCTAAGATTATCTCATCCAACAGTTATTTCAGTTATCCAGCTGGTGGTGAGAGCCCAGGTCTCTATCAGGAATCCCTTCTGTGTGATCCTGACAGACAGACGGACACATTTGCCTTGGCAGCCTGAGCTACCCCATGGCCTGCTAGGCACACCTGGCTCAAGCCCAAAAAGCAACCAGAAGTTTTGGCCCTTAGCCCTACATGTGTGTTTAGCTCCTGTTTCCATATTTACAGTGTAAGAGAGCTCTTCCTATTCTCCCCTTGTACTTACCCAGTTCAAACAAAGAGAGAACTGCCACCAGGAGAACGAGCAAGGAACAACAGGCCTCCAAAGTGACCAGGGGTTGGGTATTCACAGAATCACAGAATTTCTAGGTTGGAAGAGACCTCAAGATCATCGAGTCCAACCTCTAACCTAACACTAACAGTCCCCACTAAACCATATCCCTAAGCTCTACAACATGCACTTTGACTGGGAAATATATATATTAAAAAATGTATGTATATTTTATCTACTTTTTTTTTTTTACCCCAAAATAAGCTAAAATTGACATGTAAGCATGCATGTCAGCTATCAGCTGAAATCGTACAAGTATCAGCCATCAATCCCTCCTTTCTGTTTTAAAACTCTTAATGTTTTGAAGCACAAATGCCATTAAAGTATCTTAAAAAACAGTAAGGTCACTACATAAGTGTGACGAGTTATGCAAGAGTTCTCCCCTGGACTCCAGTGGTAACATTCAGCCCATCCAGGGATGAGGAAAGCTGGAGAGATGTCTCAGTTGGGAAGAACATAAATATCTTTCCTGCTCTTTTGATGATTAAGGTGCCATAGGTCATGCTTCTCTCAAACAAATGAACCAAGAGGTGAGATTTGAGCCATTAATAGTAAATTTGACCAACGCTGCAGACACTTCAAGAGAGCTCAGCAGAGGACAAGCAATGTCAAAAGCAGACAGAATAAGACAAAATTGGTTACTTTAGCATTAAAACAAAGCATATCATGTGGCCTCCATGAAATAAAAGGGTTGAGAATAGAGGTAGCAGCTCTTAGAATTTCTGAGTCACAGAGGTTTCAGCAGAAGGACACAAATTTGAGTAAAAAATATACAATTCCTTTGAGATACTGTTTTTAGGATGCAGAAAGTCTAAGGACCTGTCCTTTCTAAGACAATAAGCAGTACTTAAAGATATGGAAATTCCCTGGCAAAACAGAGGAAGAGCATTCTCATATGCAAGCAAGGAAGCTGCAGAGAAAGGGTGTAATCTGTAACATTCAAAAGAATTTAGATGACAAAGGCAGAATTTTTAACCTAACCTCGCAGCCTCTGCCAAAGCAGTAGCGAAGTGAGCGGAATCGGGAAGCAGGGTGGTGGTGTCAGGTAGGAAAGCAAGGAAAGCTCTTTCAACTGATCTTGGGAGGGAAGGGGAATTCAAGGCTCACGTAAACACCTCACGGAATTTACAGAACACCACAGACCTCACTCTCTGATGCTGGTCTGTCTTACCTGCACCAACCCAGCCACCAGTGCAAAACACATGCTGCCTTTCCTCCCTTCTGACCATTTCCATAAAGTAGCTCAGAAATCTTTCATTCCCTGAACACGTACCAATGCACAGACACTTGATAACTACAGTGCAGCAGCCTACGTTGTAGGAAACTAAAGCACATGGTGCAGCAGATGACAAAATCCTACCCCTGAAGAGCCCACCTGAAGACACACAGTCAGACTGTTTACCTCTTCACTGTGAAGACTGTACCGTTTTGCAGCGAGTGGAAGGAATATTTAATAAGCAACCCTGGTCTTGTAGACATTAAAAGCTTATTATGCAGCCCTGTGGCTCACATACCTGTTGACTGGCTTGCATGAATTATAGCTACGTCCCTGGTATAAGGATGCAAAGCTATGTTCAGCAGTTTTAACTTGATGAGATTGCTTTCTGCTCCTCTCAGTCCAGCATGGAATTAATGAAAGCTTTCTTTTGCTTTCCATTTCGAGAACCGTGCTCCTGTACTTATCTTTGAGGTTATTCCCCACAGCCTTCCTTCCAACCTAGATGAAGTCACATCCCTCTGCAGGGCACCAAAAACCTCCCACTGACCTGCACATCACAGGCCTGTGAATTACTCTCCTGTTCTCTGTTAACCTTTGTGGCAGCAGGAATCCTGGTACTTGCATACTCCAGCGAGTCATGCTTCTAACGCCTCGCACAAAAACCACACCTGCCACACCACAGAATGGTTTGCATTCTGCAGCCTACCTGAAGTTCCACAGCACAGATTCCTTCCTGAGTGTATTGGCAAGGAGGCACCACTGAACAGTTCCCTGTTACTGACAACACATTTCATTAATTATAATCGCTATTGACAATTCTATTATTGGCTTGTATATTATTCAAAATCCCTTCTGTGTAGGCTTAAGAGCTTATTAAGACTAGTAACTGTTGTCTTGTCATCATGCCAACCTAGCCAAGGATATCACCCAACCAGAACAGCTTTGTCAAGCTTACTATGCTCAGAGTAACTTTCAATTACCGAGCAATACAAAATTTGTCTAGTATTGAGGCAAAAATGCTTTTAAGATAGCAGCTCCCCTAATATCAGCCCATGCACTAAAGAGGACAAGCCTGGCTGGTTAGTCTACTGCAAAACCGAAGGCCACAAGAGAGGAAAGAAATGCCATCCACTTGCCCTTGGGATATCAGAGGTCCTGTGCTGAAGTCTTAAACACATTGTCAGGCCTTGAACTTTCTGAAGACAACCATGGGTCATTTGGTGGGAGACTCCTCTAGCGTGTTGTCTTTGTTGCTGATTATCAGGCACGAGGAATGTCATTTTCTTAGAAACTTGGTGTGCCTGTAAAATCAGGTGTAGAAAGAGCACTGAGTATAATCTACAGAATCAAGAGCTGTATCTGTCAGCATAACTAGGTCCTACAAAGATGTACCCACATTAAACTCTCAGCTGCATAATCAACTTTTTTTTTTATTAAAAAAGTACATTCCAAAGACAGATTCAAACTTTTTAAACTCATTTTTATACTGATTAAAATGGTCAAGTATACAGAACTCATCCATTTATCATCCTCCCTTCACATTAGCTAGTCTGTTTTCTTTCACCTACCCTTTTCTCCATCCTTTCTTCTGCACATTAATTAAAAGACAAGCATTGAACATGCAGCAACAGGATTGCTACGAATCATTGTCGTGGTTGGGATGATCTGGTAAAGTGAAGATGACCCTCGGTGGAAGAGACAAATAGCGGGGTTTTAATTTAGGGAGCTTTTTTCAGGTTTATGCTATGAGTTTTAAAATATTTCTTGTTTTAACAAAATAAATTCTGAAGTCGAGTTACAATAACAACATCATGTCTGATTCTAATGCTGTACTCAGCTCCCAACAATGGATGGGAGAAAGGTCCTGCTCCAGTCTATTAGAAGAATTTAATGACCATTAAAAGGCAAGCAGAGATTTGTATCACTCAGTTGTTCGGTGTCATTGTTCCAGTCTTCACAGTAGAGAAGCAGCACATTTCTTTTAAGTAAAATATTGCTGGGAACTCATTGCTTCAGCAATTACCTCTGAAACACATTGTTTTCTCAAAGCCATTAACATGTCAGATCATGGCAGTGCTTGACATCCAAACACGCCTTGGAGGGCTGCAATTCAATTTAAGGATCACCTCCTCTGAACAGGCCAACCTGCAAATTTCACAAAATCAGAGAGAAATTCTCAGGGCACACTTTGATCATGCTGCTTCCTAAATTAAAAACAAAACTGTAAGTGTTAAACATCTTTAACAAGACATTAAACCTCAGCCATAATCCAGGAAGGGTCCCTTAATGAGTAATGACATATGTTGTGAAGGCAGTTATCTCCTAATGTTCGCTGCTGAAACACTACGATGGAATGGCACAGTGTTCAAAAGGGATGTATCATCACTAATGAGAGGATAATTTGAAGCTGCTCTTCTGAGGACCCCAGAGGAGACTTTCTAATGCTGCAGGATGGTGAAGGATGCAGTCCTCCACCTTACCACGCACTTGCAAGAGGACTGGGAGGTGACAGAACAAAGTCAGGACAGACACAGAAGAAGGGCAAGGTCATTTGGAGGGTCCCTAAATGGGCTCCTACCTTGTTGGCTCCCCAAAGCAGGTCTTGGCACAGATCAGCCACCTCTCTGCTGACCACTAATGGTACGGGAGATGCCTCCAGGAGCGCAGCGTTGGCACAGGCCTGCTGTGGAGCATGCAGAAGCCTACAAAAAAAGATGGGGTGGAGAAGAGTCACAGAGCTCAGCAGAAAAGGGATCCGACTCCTCTTTTACTAAAAAGAGCTTGAGATCTCTTCCAAACTAGGTTTTAGAAGTTCTTCCCTTCATTTCCTAGCACTATTTTCTTCCTAATCTGGACTAATATGAGAGTAAACCTCCCCTAAATTATCTTCCAGCTCACCCTATTGAATTTGAGCACCAGTTTAAATACCAAGCCATGGGATTTTATTTAGAACAACATTCCTTATTTCCATCTGCAGGTAACCTGATAACCAGAGGACTGTGTGTTCCAAATGGGACCATGGCTTGAGCAATTGGCTTTGAGGGCCATAAAACAAACCTCCAAAGCTGGGAGCAAAAACAGGGCATGAATGGAGAATAAACAAGGAGAGTGGGCAAAGGTGGTAAGAATACAGAAAGAGAAAACTTCAACTGTTTATTAGGAAAAATAATACAAAATATTCCATGTTCTCCCTTTCAGTTTAAAGTATTGGTGGGGAATAGCAAGAGAGCAGATGCTCTTGCACAAGCTCATCTCCTCTCTGCTCCACATCACCAGCTCCAGAATTTAAGCAATACTCCGGTTGTGCCGAAGATGTACTGCTGTGAAAATGAAAACAAAAAGCCCCAGGAACAAAGGGCAAAACGTCCAACTCCACACTTCCCGACTGCTGCCAGTTAGGTGCAACTGGAACAGCACAAGCACGGAGCTGAGCAGGAGGCAGGGAGCTGGTTTCAGAGCCGTATCTTGCAGAGTAAAATAAGCAGCTTGTGAAGACCAAGTAATTATGAAATAATAAGAAATTCTAAGAATTCCATACGAAATAAGCATCTACTGAGATGTCTGAATATGTGCAATAGGTTTGGTTCTGGCTCACACGTGGCTTACATGTTGCACATAACAGGTCTTGCCATGTATGATTTAGAGAGAGTCACTCTTATTGGGCAGAATTAACAAGGAGAAAGACGAGGGGCCAGATAATTTTGCACACATATTTTTCTATGTGAAAAGCTGTTAGTCAAAGTCCACAGAATCAATTAATCCCCACCCATTCTCTTAGGAGAGTTTTTACAGAATTCTAATGAGTTTCTCTGCCGATCGACGGCACCGGCACTCCCTAACGCTGCTGGCATCCCTTTGGTGACTAATTCCTTGCTCTGCGAGACAGCTCGGCCTGCAGAGGAGAGGTGTCAGAACGGGCTCTCTGCTCTCGTTAGCTGATTTAAGGCAGCAGAGCCAGCTGCGCTCCTCTAACGGGGAACACCAGGCTGGCAAGGGCTGGGGATCCAGCCACACACAAGGGAAGCGGCGTTCGAAGCTTGCCTGCAATTTTATTGGTACTCACACAAAATTGTCAGTCCCTGTCCGGCACCTTTGTAACTTGTATTGCTATTTTTTTAGGTGTTTCTTCAGAGATTTAAAGGGGAAGCCACTAGACAGCAAGCAAAAATGCTTCGTGCTCTACTGAAAAAGCCCTGATGCGGTGACAGAGTAGTATTTAATCCTCATCGATATGAAACGCGTAACTCAGCCCTCCCCCCTTGACCCTTCCCCTCGTGTAATGACATATGCAAATTAAGTGAATAACAATCAATTAGACAAGTTGCCATATGCTGAAGCAGGCATTACTGCTTTCCACTTGCTCACTCCTGCTTCGAAATGAAGGAACTGCTGCCAGAGACAACAAGAGGCCACCACGCTGCAGAAGTTACAACAAGCACTGGAGCCAGACAGAGCTGAGCTGCACCTGCCCCGTATTTACTAAATCACTTTTGTTCCTTCTGCAGCACCCCTGAGCTCTGCAGAAGCTTTTAGATGAAGACCCAGCCTGCCTAATAGCCTGTCCCTGGCAGTGGTCAATAACTTCTGCCTGAGGCACAGCCTAACAACAGGCAAAGCGTGTAGCAATTTTTTTTCCCCCAAGTTCTTTCCCACCTTCTAGTGTTTTGTAGCTTGGGGATTTCTGGAGCCCCAGGCTGCGTGTCCTGATGCAGGAAGTTCTGCAGCCACCTCTTCCAGTTAATTTTGTACGTGGTGAATAACAGCTTCATCTGATGCCCTCCGGATCATTCACTGAAAGAAACAGCGCAGACTAAAAAAAATTTAGAGTATCTGTGCCACTCTATCATGTCTTTCCCCATTTGTCTTTTCCAGGCTCTAAGTCCTAACTTACTCTGTCATTTCTCATGCAGAAGCAGTGCCATGCCTTTATCTATTGCTGGTGTCACTTGCTGGTTCATTTCCAGTTCTGTTACGTCCTTTCCAGGCAGCAGGACCGCACGGTATTTACAGTGCGGGAGGCCGCAGACTTGCACACTGTCATAACAACACTTCTCCACTTTGCTGTCTGTTCCTTTCCCATCACTTTCTAGCATTTGGATTCCTTTTTTTGGCTTCTGTTGTGTGCTGATTTGACATTTTCACAGATGTATCTATGATAGCTTCAACAACTCATTCCTGAGCAATAGCCAGCAGCTCGGAGCACAGCATTTTGTGTGGCACTAGGATTGTTTTTTTCCTCACATGCATCACTTCGTATTTATTTACATTGAATTGCATTTGCTGTTTTAATGCCTACTTCATCTCATAAGGACTGTCTGCAGTTCTTTATGGTCATTCACTTCCCTTTGCCATGAGTAACTTGGGAGCTGAGAGGGATGTTTTCCACGAGTGGTTGAGGGGAATCTGGTTGCCAAAGGCAAAACCTCCTTCCTCCACCTTTTCAGTCGTCTTTCCTGAATTTTCTGGTCTGCATTCATCTCCTATTCTCTTAAAAATAAAATGAAATCCACACCCAAATTGCATAATCTAGTAAGAACACAGAAATGAACATGTAAGCCTTCAGCATCCTTAATTCAGAAGCTACTTCCTCAAAGTTCATGCCAGAAGGCCAGGCTGAGCATTCTCCTTTGAGAAGGCACACGAGCACATGGTCAGCGCTATCACTGCCATCTCAGGAACCTCTGATGCAGGATTCACACTTTTTTTATCAAATTCCTGGCTTGTCACGTGCCTAACCACCAGGTAACAGCCACGGCTCACTTCCATCTTCAACCCCTGGTGTTCTCGTATGAGAAGAAAAAGGTCTGTGGTTGTGTGTGGCAAGCCAGTGCCAGCATCTGGAATAGAATCTAGGCCAGCAAATGTCCAGCCCCACTTTCTGATTTCTCCAAACCTGCCAAGACAGGTAAATCGGAGACTGTGTCCATGCCTAGCGCATCGCCTCTACCATGCACCCCAAAACACCTGAGCGGACAGCAGCGATTCCAGCTTACCTTCAAAGATTAGTTGATGAAGGAAGTACTGAGAAAGCAAATACGAAGGACGCCCATTTCCATCCTAGGAGGAATTACAGAAAGCATGTCAGGCTCTCCTTGTGTGACAGGTCAGGCAGGCAGCTGACTGAGAGCCTCATTAATTTGCAGTCTTCCAAAGCTCTGCATGCAAAAAGTGCAAAAGGTGGGATTTTTCAGTATCTTTTGACACGGCTCTCTAAAATTAAACTGGAAGCAAATCTGGGAGATGATCTCCAATTAAACATTTCAGGTGAAACTTGATTTTTGTGTGAGCAGGTGAGAACATTAACCATCATGAAGAACTTACCAGGAAATCCAAAACTGCAGAAAAATAAGTAAGATGAGGCTAGTTTAACTGAACAGGACTTGATTCTCTCCTCCCATTATAGTGTAAGCCCTCATCTAAGTTTTCTTACTGAAGTCTGGCATGGTGCAAAATCCAGACACCTTGTTTACTGTGCATCATCACTCAAATCATTTATTGTGCATTTCTAATTAAAGCTGAGAGAGACCAGAATATAAGCACGAGACTCTACTCGAGCGAGAGGTCCCCCTCTCTCTCCATCAGACTCACGTGCATTCAAGCTTCCCAGGGTTGCGTTAATCTAGCTGGCATTTTTCTAAGATAACATGAGAAGGGCTGGAAGAGGAGTAAATACGAGTGAGTGGAGATGGTAGTATCTAGCATATGGGATGATGATGTGAAATTTGCAAACTCCCAACTCAATTATTGACCTAAAGGTCCCCACCTCTTGTTTAGTTGTTTTTTTTTTCCTGTTGCCTGATTTCCCACTTTCCTAGCTGACTGCCCTACTTTAGGCAGGGGAGAGCAACCTCTTTTTTCTCTGCTTGTGTGCAGCGTTCCCCCCCTCCCTAAGTGGAGTAACAGCAGGGGGGCTTAAACACTCACAGGGGCAGAAAAAAGGACAAGAAAACCGTCTTTGTTCCAGGCAGACAGTACAAGGTCACGTTACTATGGCAGCGTGAACCATTTCCCCTCATTCTAGCTAGTAGTTCAACTTTGCCCATAGTTTATTCCCTGGGAAGCCTAATCCAGAGTTCAGGTTTGTATATGTGGGGGCAGAGGTCAACAGCAATATGACAATGGCCTAGTCAAAAGAAAAGCAAGCTATGATATAGCAGAATCAAAGAGTCGGCTCACCAAGCACCGGGGGCCGGCTCGGCCGGCGGAGCTGGAATTCATCCTCTCACTTCAGCCTCAGGTTCTTGATTCAGCTGTTTTGTTGGCAGCCTTCAGAAAGGCTGAGCGGTGAACAATGAGGATGACACTGGAGCAAACAGGGAAGGATGAGAAGGCAGCGCTGACCGAAAAACCGGGGCTCATGTGCCCAGTGCTGTACTTCCCAGCTCAACGACTAAACCACATTTCAGGCACCTCTGACACAGCTGGTTTTTCCTTTAGAACTGTGAATAATTTAATAGTGGGGTATAAATTCTCTACACAGGCTGCTGGAAGAGAAGACGGCGTCTGAACAAACACGTGTAGGTGTGCGTGCGTAAAGCTTCAACAGCAAGGTACAAGTGGAGACTCTCCAACATTTTTAGGTGAGCAGGAGCTAAAACGCTCATTTCATGAACCTTGAAGGAAAATACAGAATTGAGATTGATTTTCTTTCACTCAGGAGGCCCCAGCTTTCAGCTTCCATTCAGTTTACAATATTCTTCTCCGATATAATTTCTCTTCTGTTTTAGAAATCAGAAGTTATCTCATGTCCCACAGGAGAGTTTTCTGGAAAAAAAAAAAAAAAAAAAAAGCCCCTAATTAATGTTTCTTCAGGCAGGCAACTGAGAAAAGAAGAAAAATTCCACTGAGCTCAATGGACACCCGACAGGCAGCTGTGTCCTTTTTGTTCCTGTTCCCAAGGTCCTCCCCCGGTAGGGGTGGCAGAAGTCCTCCTCTGCACTTGGGATCCACGCTGGCAGCCTGTGCACAGCTCCTTGCTCGACTAGAATTGCTTTCTTAAAATGCCCTTTCATAAAACTCAGTATTGGAGGGTTTCTTTATGGATTATTTTCATTTAAATATGAAAATAACTGTTTTGTTCTGAAAAATCACATCTTTTTCAGGAGAGAAGTGGCTTAAATTTAAAAGCCACTTACAAGTAAATTATGCTGCCGCTTTTTAATTGAAAATGTTTTAGTAAACCTACAAGAGCTTTGTGGGGAATTTGCTGAGGCCCTCCCATGAAAACCAAATGTCATTTTAACAACTGAGATCAACAGAAGAGCTAGGCAGAAGGATTTGAGCTCTTAGGTCTCCACGAGGTTCTACACATCCAGCATCTTTGCTGAGCATTCACATACTACAAGGGGAATACAACACAAAAAAGGGGAACATGAGAACGAGCCCCAAAAGGCTGCTCATTCAGTCCCTGGGATGAATTCTTTTATCTCCCAGAGTTGTTTCACTGTCAGAATGAAAACACAGTCTATGGGAGCTGTCTGCTGCTGTGGTTTATTATTTATATTGTACTTTTTTTTTTTTTTTTTTTAGTTTTTTAGTTTTTTCTGCATCTTCACCCCATTGCCAATGCGTGCCCTCCACTCGCTCCATTCCATTCCTGTTTCCCACCTCCAGGTGGCACTTTGGAAATTCATAGAATCACTGAATGGTTTGGATGGCAAGGGTTGTAATTCTCAACTGGAAGAAATAATTTCCGTTTCTCAAGTAGAAAAATACTTGAAGTTAACTTCTTAAGGCTCTTCTACCAATTTCTGTCGTTACTAAATGCATAACAGAACTTTTAAATGGTTGAAACACTGTCTAATAACTAAGGTTTAAATCTCTCTCTTGTCAAGTCATAAAACAGATAACTGAAGTAGGTCTGGGGCCAAATTCTCTTCAGAAGGCTGGGATTTACTTACTGAACATGCCAGATGCACAGAGGTCAGCAGGAAGCATTTATTGATTAGCCACTGACAGCACTGTGTCACCCACGTGTGCCATATTATTGATTAGGTGTAACGACAGTTTACTTGGTCGTTGTGCTTCTCCGAGCTTTTGTCTCCTACAAGCCAAGAGCACAATGGCTTTTGGGGAGAAGGAGGACTGGAGAATACCAAAGACATAAAAAGTCTCCATGACAAAGAGCCCAGGGCAGCTGTGCTTAATTCCTAGACTGAGGGAAGCAGAGATAATCCACTAATCCTGGACGGAGCGGGATGGAGCATGCGTGCCACCCAAGCTGAGCTCCAGAAAGATCTCTGCACAAATAAAGCAGCACCTTTCCCTTTGACATCAGAGGTCGTGGTGTTGTTTTTTTCTGGCACTGGCTGGGAGTAGATCTTTTTATCAGGACCATTCTTTTCCATTGGAGGATGTATCTGCTGCTTTCAGAGCACTGTCTGAGGAAGATACACCTTCCACTTCTCCCTAATGTTGAGAAATACAGGATTTGGAGGAAATTAAGGAATTTGGTACTTGGAATTTGGTAAGATAAGCAATGCGTGCCCTTTACCTGAAGGTTTGTTAAGTGATTCACTCAACAGAACCTGTTTTAGGTGTTGCTACAAGTCCAACAAACTCCTCAAATTCTCCGCTAGCTGTGACATAATTAAGAAATCTCCTTTATTCTGGTGAGCGCTTCTCACTCCCCTTGTTGTGCTACAGTCCCCCAGAGACAGACTGAGGCACACAACTATTAACAGTCCCACATCAGAAGCTAGCTGCATCACACCTGCATGACTGCTAGGTCTGAAGGTCTGTGATACCACCCTTACCTTACTGGTGTCTGTGGCTCACTGAAGTCCTTCCATTTCTCAAATTCTGAATGAGAATGTGAGGAGTTCCCAAGAAAAAAATTGCCCAGGCAGTCGTCATCTCCATAACAAGTGTCGTCAGGTGGTAAATAAGGCAGCCAAGTTGTCTTTTCCGGCATACCCAATGGCTCTGGCCCCTACTGCAAGCTCCAACTCTACCAGCCCAAAGAAACCATTTGTCCCATTAAGTGAAGCAGGCACAAGTCCAGGTTCTGGCCCCTCAACTCAATTAAATCATTTAGTATTTTCTGAGCTAAATGATGTTCCAAGCCCCTCTGGCTTCTCTGTCCCACAACTTCTACTCATTCCTCCTACCTGGAATGCCCATCACCCTCCAAATTTTTGCAGTCTGAGGCAATTATCTGCATCTCTCAGGTGGCCTGACTCATTAGCCACCTGTAAAAGCTGTGTATCAGGTGTATTCAATTTAAAGAATTAGCACTTAAGCAGGACTGTCAGTGGGGAAGCTCAAAGACCTATAAAAAATTTTATTAGCAGTAAGAACCTTTTCCTAATAAAATAAAAAAGCTTTTTTTTTTTTTTAAACTGTTACCCTGTTATCCATGCTTTCCCCACCTGCAGGTTGTCCTGGCAAGTGACCAAGAGTCTGAGGGCTGTATTTAATTTGCATAAATCAGAGCTGATTACAGTTACTTTCCTCATTAATACACTGAGTACTGATTAATAATTGGTAATACACAGAATGTACTGATGCATTTGTACAGCACCGTATGCATGCCTGATGCCAAAAATGAAAACAAAACTCCTGCTCCAAAGTGCTCATTCTCGACACAAAGGACAACAAATCCCCATCAGAATGCAATCTTTGCTCCAAATAGAGGAGGTGATAGTTTCTGTATTTCATGTAGGACATGTCTTTGAGCAATGAGGGAGGATGGAGAGATGTGAGCCACTTTCCTGTCTGTTTGGATCCCTAATAATGCCCCAGTAAAACTCTTGAGGCCCCTTCCCGCTGTACTCACTCGTCCTGTGACCTGGACCTTCTGCACTGAAAGCTGGGACTAACACGTTGTCAAGCGTAAGAGCAGCAAAGAGTTTTCTTCCGCCTGTACAGGACAGATGCAAAAAGCTTAATCACCGCAGCACATCTCTCATTTCAATATGACAATATATATTATCTACCAGCATATTTATTGCTTACATAGATGTGAGTTATTTACATGGAAAATTGATTTATCTATCAGATAATTAGTAAACTTCAATAATTGCAAAAAACCTCTTAGCAATCAGTTGACATTTAATTAACATACAATAACTGTCTTATTAAATCTGCATTAAATACCTATTGAAGTGAATTAAAACCCATGTATAGGATTCCACAACTCCTGGAGAAACCTCATTATAGTTCAACAACAAAAAGCCCGGAGCTGTGCTGCTTGTTTGTTTTTATGGCACAAAGCTGCCCGGCTTTCAGGGAAGGACAGTGTCCTGTTTCAGACAAACACTTCATGATTAGGTAAAAACGTGACATGAAAAACACGAATGAAAAACAATGAAATGCTCCAAGACTGATACCTGGGCTCCAACCCACCTGATGCCACCCGGATCTGCCTGGGCACGATGAAGACGTGGGCAGTGAGTGAGTCTGTGTTGAAGTCCAGGCACAAGACCTCTCGCTGGGTCTTGCCTGCACCCATGGAAACCAACGCTGCCCGATGCAAAGCTGCTGCTGTCGTGGTCCAGCACAGGAGCATCTTGGATTTTGGTGGCGGATGGAAAACATTGATGATGCTTTCTGTATACATGGGTCCAAAGATACTGAATGCAGGATTAACCCCGGGAGCATCGTGTAATTCTGGAATTAGAACTGGTGGTTTGTTGCTGCTGTTGCTGTGTGAGGAGACAGGTAAGCATATTTGGTTAAGATCTATAAAATAACCCAATCCTCAGATTTCACAGACCACAAAACTGATAGCCCTGGTTGCACAGGAGAGAAGAGAAACTGCATACAAGCAAGACATGCTGCCTTCTGGCCTCAGAAGACTCTTAATACTGCTCTTGACAACTTGCTCGTGTACGTCAAAGAGATCAGAGACCATGCAGTAACTTCTGCAACAAGCCTGTAACATGGTGCTTCTGTTACACCAGATCTTTAAAAACGATCCTCAATTTTCATGTAAGGGAACAAATGGTGAACAGCCCACCAGTGTTTGTGTCACTGCAGTGAGTTTATTTGGAACTTGCAATGGTTTGGTCTCAATTTGTCCCCTTAGTCACCAAGACTTACTTTGCAGTCTCCTGCTAAGTGAGAAGCGTCAACTTCTGTATGATCAGGTAGACACAAGACGGCTACGGAGACCTTCCAAATACTGGGAACAATAAATTATACACAGGGTTTGCTTCTAACCCAGCCTCCTCATCAACAATGCTCATAAAATTAAAATGAAAATAAATATTCAGCCTTCTCCTCTCGCAAAAGGGACAAAATTGCAGACGTTTAACACCACTGTTTCTTCTGCAGTACATGAACAACTCCGAGCAAGAACCGGGTCTGCTAAAATGGAAATCAGCTGGGGAATGATTCATAGATTTGTGCACGCTGCTGCTTACCCTGAAGCAAGTCAAAGTCAGAATAAAGTCAGATCCCAGGAAACGTCCACGGTAAGAATTTGGAAAGCCACCTCCTTGCCGTTGACCTAGCCTTATAGTATTCAGGACTTCTCTTCTACATACAGGAATTTTCTGAACACCTAAGCATATGTATAAAAGCAAAATCAAATGACTGCCTCAGACTTGACAGAACTGCTGAACTAAGAACCGTGCTTCGTCCTCTGCTGAAGGGCATCACCTTGAGAAGATAAAGCTTTGTGGATGTTGCTCTAAAAGTTGGTATTCTCTGCTATTGGCTATTATTTGTATTGAGAGAGGAATTAATAACGATCTGCACAGAATGCTGCTGCCTCACCCCATTTTATGCGAGCTTCACAAAAGCCAGAAATCACGAGTCATTTAGCAGAAACGCGGCTTTAGCCCTATCAAAGTACTAATGTGCAGCTGAAAAGGGACCTTGTTTTTGAAAAAAGCCAAATAGATACTAAAAAGGAAAACAAACCTCTAATCAGACAGCAAATACTGGTCTTAGAGCGAGGGGCGATACTCGCAGTAATTTAGCACCGCTCAGGTTATAATGAGAGCACATGACGCATTATTTGTGACTTAACTTATTTTAGTCTGAGGTCCCTGAATAATTAACCTGCTTTGTTTCAATTCATTTAGATGTCCATATCCTCCTGCTTAGGAAATGCGTTCCACAAAATAACCAGCCCCGCTGCTTCCTGAGCGATTCACAGCGCAGGCTGTGCAGAGACTGGTGTAAAACACGTTTGCATGAGGATTCTTCGGATTCAAGCATTTAGATATTTCATGCTCAAAAATTAACATTGCTTTGTTAAAAATAAACTACTTTTGAGAGCAGGTATTTTATCCTAATTACAAAAGAATATAATTTGATGTTTTTATACCGATGTTATATCCAGTTTATTACGTATAAAATCCCAAATAAAACAGATTAAGTTACTTTATAAAACGATCTCCATTTAGAAACTGAGTAAGTGGCTTACAATGAATAAATTAGTGTGCAATGGCAAACCGCAACTGTATAAAGATTTGAGCAGAGCTAATAACCCGGTAATTCGCGGTCCCTGATAAGCACAGGACCCTTTTAGTCACACGTTATGTAAGCAGCGACTACAGGAAAGGCTCATGTTTACACAAGCAGCCTCGCTGCTGAAAATTTCTAGCATTTCACTCGACATTACTATCCCATTCCATTTAAAACCATGCCCTTCTAATTCTCCTATTTTTCTTCCTGGCTGCCTCTCTGCAATACCAACCTGTTTCGCTAACTATTAGGAGATATTATTGTTGCTGGAAATTCATCTGTCATTTTACAAGTCTCTTTCAAAGAAAGAAATAACAGGTTGTCTCGGTGAAAGGAAATAGCAGAGAAACAAAAATAGTGTGCTCTTTGCTCCCACAGAGACAAACCAAGTAATATTTACCTCTGACATGATAAACAAAAGATCAAAAAGGATTAGAACTAATGGCTCTGTAAATAGTATATTCATAAGAGAGGGATCCTGCTCGAATCACAAGAAAATTGTATCCACTTTCAGCTGCCAATTTCTGAGGAACATCCTGATTTTTTAACTCTGTATTTATGGAACAGCCTATGATGGTTGCGGCTCTGCTATCACCACCACCCTCATCTTCTTCATACATTATTGCTGGGATTTTTCCCGAAGAATTACAAAGCCTTCTGTGCAGAAGCAACCCTGGCATGTTCCACAGAGGTCACTTTCAATGACAGTTACCTTTCTGAGTAAAAGCACACCCGGCAGAGCAGCCTGCCTGCCCGAGGGGCACCCAAGTGTCTCCAGGCAGTACTCAAGCAAAAGGGACACTGCACAAGGCAGCCTCAGCACCCTGGATTGCCATTTCTCTGTGGTAGAGGCAGGACAGGAAGAGTCAGGGCACAGCACAGCAAGCCGACACTCTCCAGAAGCCCATGAATGCTCGAGAACTGAAGTCACACCCCTGCTGGGTCTGCCCTGCATACCTGAGTATGACATTTTCAAGGGGAACCCACCACAGGCTACTCCAAAGTACCTTCTGTCTGCAAACAGCTCGTCGCTCGCAGAGCTCAGCATCGATGCAGCTTTACCCCGCTGCTTTCCATTGCTAATATATTCATCGACAGCTTGGCTAGCTCATGTCGGTGCAGTGGCTGCAGGAGCGTTGTGGGCAGTCACAGGAGCTGCCTGACACCTTGTTTCTGCCCCATCTCCTTCCATCAGGCAGGCTGCTGGCTCCTGGTGCTGTCCTGGCCTCGTGAACACGCAGCCTGCACACCGTGCACGTCCCGGCGGCTGCCAAGGATTGCTCTTCAAGGCAAACATGCTCGGAAGAAACAAGGCACAACAATATTTGCATATGCACTGGTGTATTCGTACAAATGGCTCGTAATTAGCAGTACTGAGAACAATCAGAGCAATACCAGATTAAGAAGTTAACAGGGAAGTTCTGTGCGCTCAGAGAAAGGACATAAATTGCTGGGGAAAAAACTTTACAGAGCTTGTACAAAGGGACAGGGATGAAACTTCTGCTGTTTTAAAAACACTTGGGTATTCCCCTCCATGAACCATCTTACCTGCCACTACCACTTTTTGTTTCATGATGCACAAAGCTGAAGACTTACAGTGAGATCTACCGAGCATTTGCCTGGACTCCTCCAGCAGCCCATCCCTGATACCGACACGTTCCTGTATCAGTGTGTTAGGCTTCCCTACTTTTTAGCTTATTTAACTTCTGCAATGCAACACCATATTATAGCCAATTTACTCAGCCAAAAAAAATCCAGACAGACTTCAAAATACATCTAAAAACAAAAAGCTAACAAAATTCAGGACAGAAAATATTTGAAGTATAAAAACCCTAAATTAACCTTATAACACAGTAAAAAAATAGTCTGAAGTCTACCTAACTAAGTCTGGGTTGGCTAAAAATAAACCAGGGAGGTCAAGACTAAAATACTTTAAACACTTGCAAATTATATTCAACGAGAAGTGGAACTGAACTTCTCTTTATTTGAAGATAAACTCACAGCAACAAATCCATGAATATTTTGTCCTCAGACAATCTCTCCAGCAGGCATTCCCCACGAACTGTATTACTTTTGTGTTCCAAACATGTACGATTTCTGACAACTGCACTGGTGCTACAAAGGGCACACAAAATGCAGAACTCCCCGTAGTGTGCCCGTGCCCCCCGTACATAATCGGTTCTAGCAGGGAACAACGCAGTTGCATTTTTCTCCAGTTAGTGTCTGATAATAAACTGTAAGCTGAGAGGAGTCTTCATTTCTTTCTTTCCTGCCCTAGCAGCTGATTAACAAACATGCTCAAAGCCAAATGAAAGCGTGCAGTTGTGGGAAGCCTTGCGACGCAGTTGTGCATCCATCACAGGTGGACACGAGGTCTGCTCGCTGCACTTGCAATATAATTAGAATTCAATACTGAAAAAAAAAGGTCCAGAATAAAGGATGCCAAGATTACCATCTAAATACAACGTTGCTCGTTGAAAGAAATGAATGTAGAGTATTGAATGTTCAAAATTGTGTTGAATTAGATAAGCAAATCCCATGTAGACTTTGTTAATGATTCATAATCAGCTAATAAGCTCATCTCCAGTAGAATAATGATCCATGGACCTGTTAGCTCATTTATCACTATGTTTTACAACACCAGCAAAGAAACTAATTAAATCCCAGCATCATTACACAGAATTCCTTTTAATAGAGATACAATGATGCACTAGAGGCTACAGATTACACTGCAAATTGTACCAAGAGATTCCGGACAGCAAGTTTTAATTAACATGTTAGCGAGAAGCTGCTCACTTAAATAATAACTAACCAGGAAACATCTGCACACTCCAAAACATGGGAGCAAGAAGAACACGGGAAGCAGTGTTACACGAGGTACTGCAGGCTGCTAAGCTCAGCCCGAAGCTGCTGCTGCTCACTCGCTGCCCTCACTACCTGGCACGGCTCCGATGGTTCAGCTCGGCTCCAGGTCAGCGCTGAGATGGCAGCAGGGCCACCAGCATCAGGTGAAAGGGCTGGGCAGAGCCACTGCTGGGCCACAAACGGTGCCAGGACAAGGCTGGGGCTCGGCAGGCAGAGCTGGAGGCTCACTTTGCTCGTTTCATGCAGGTAACTGCCCCCAGAACTGCTCCCTGGTCTGCAAGCAAGAGGAAAAGGAAGAGAAGAGTTCTTTTCTGCTGAAACAAAGGCAGAATTTGGAGAAAGCACAGGTTGAAGGAACAGCGGAGTGACGGAGCAGTGCACAGATACTGGCATTCAAAAAGATGACTGCCTAGCAGGAAAGCAGCAGAAAGCAATCCCTGGTATTCCCTTTTCATTTGAACATCCCAGCCAGAGCAAGAAGCACAATTTCTGCAATTTATCTGGGACAAGCAATGCTGTTTGCATCCATCTTTCAAAGGCATGTGTAAGGGAACAAACACACAGCCCCCAGCTCGCCAGCAGACACTACGACTACAGAGAAAGTAACGGAAAAGGCACAGATCTCTAGCAAAATATCCAAGCCTCTTGCTTTTGTGTCTTTTTTTCTCTGAGAACAGTGATAAACGAGGAGTATGGAGATGTAACTGAGTGTTTAACAGGTCATGTGAAGTCAGCCAACATTGTGAGAGTTTGTAACACGGGACAGCGAGTCCCTGAAAACAGCTCTCTGCCAGAAACAACGATTGGAGAACAACAGCCAGGCACAGCAATCCCATCCCATGGCTGCATCGGCCACTTGACAGGCTGCAGGTGGTGAGTGTGGCTGCCCAGTGCTGCAGAGAGCCCGTACTTTCTTAAAAAAGCTCGAAATAAAAACTGCATCAGCTTCCCAAGGGATAGGAGCACCTTAGGAGTGTGTTGCTGGTGTGTAGAACACAAACCTCACCTCACCTTTGTTTCTGCAGCTCCTGAGCCCTTCCCCTGCCCTGAAACCCGCCGGTGTCCTGCTGCCTGCCCCGAGCAGCCTGCACCTCCCCGGACAGCATCAGCCCCTTCAGCTCACACATTTATTTATCCTCAGCACCAGACCCAGACTTGTTAGGGCAAGACAGAGACCAGCAGCCTCATCCTTCCTTACCGTAACGAAGAGGGATTCTGTCAAGGCTCAGTCTCCAGTCCTCCACCCTCCTAAATCGTGCTGTGGTTCGAGCACCTCGTGTGGTCTGCTTCCAGCACCCCCCAAATTCCTTCGGTATCAGCCAACGTAATTTAAAACCACAAGCAAAAGTAATGCGTTTGTCGGTAACTGAGCATAAATTCAACTATTTTGCTATAAAAGTGGTTGTTCTGACTTCAAAACAGGAATAAATTCTTGTTAATTTAACCATAAACTACTCTTCATAGTCAGCAAAAGGAGACTGCTTGGGCAACTACAAAATCCGTGTGGATTTCATCTGCTGCACAGATTATTCTGAGCGTTATAATTCAGAAAACCTTTGAAACAAATTTAGTGAAATCCCTAAAAGAATAATAATAAACTGTTAGGAAATAATCCCAGCTGGCTTCATGGAAAGTGATATACTGCTCGAATTGAGCATGATCTACATAATTCTTACATTTATGACCCAGAGTTTTTCAAAGTAAAAATATATGTGACAGTATACTAGGAACTGAAGGAATAAACATTTTCTCCAGATTAAATCTAGACATTTAGTGGAGTTAAATCAAATGCTTCCTCTTAATTAATTACTATCTTCATTGAAATGAAAATCAGCAGGAAACGTACACTTAGACTTGGGCTGGTGCTCTGCTACAGAAGCCCCAACGACCAGGCTCATGTATTGAAGTCACACACTGCTTGTATGGCCACCTCCACGTTTGCTTTTGGTATGGAAGTTTAGGTAATGGGAAACACAGAGCAAATAGGAAAAAGTCTTGAGTTTGAACCAGGTCTGTTTCAAAATCAGTTCTTGGAGGATTCTGACAGCAAT